TCGATCCGCCGTCCTACTTCACGTTTTCACATATTTCTTCCGATCGACGGGTTGTTTTTTTCTAAGCCTCCTAGATTGCATCCGACTGGATGGGGTCGGAGGATCGTCGCGCCGCATCGCCGATGCATCGACGACGCGGCTCGATATGGAGTCCGCGATTCCCCACGCCGACGCCGCCGAGGCCGACATCGCCGAGGATTCGCCGATACATCGGCGATGCATTGGCGATGCGGCGCGATCCTTCAACCCCATCCACTCCGACCTTTTAGTTTTTACCGATTTCATCCGACCGACGTGTATTGGGGAACCTTGAATGTGTGTTTTCCTGTTTTTGTATCCCTGGATGCCTCTTTTGATGCCGTCGGAGGCCTGGCCCTGGTGCCGCAGCTCGGGCCCACAAGCAGCCGTTCGGGACGACTCGGGCACCCCTGGCGTCGGGTGTTGCTGGAAGTTCCCCTGGCCCGACCCGGTTATGATCGCGTCGTAAAACAATCACGACGCGAGGTTCTCGGCGATTTTCGGCGTATGGAGGCCATCGCCGGGCCTCGGGACTGTCGAAAAAACGATTCAGGATGAAAGACCGGTCCTGGGGACATGGTCGGGACTTCCAGGTACCGCGAATTGAAAAATCAGGACGTCGCGTGTCTGAGAGGGTGCCCCCAGGCTTTCCAAGGAGGCCCCCTCGGCCTCCAGAGCACCCCTCACGAGGCCCAGAGGGCCCCAGGGGCTCCAAACTTGCGCAGAAAATTGGTGGCACGTTGGGCCAGGGTCATGATGTTCCAACCTACATCAGCCTTGATCACCAGAAAGAACTTCGAGCACCCAAAAAAGTACCGAAACTTTAGGGTTTTCACGTGTCGGGCCCTGGGAGACACTCGTTCGACACTGTTTCGACACTGTTTCGACATTGTTCTTGGTGGTCGAAATTATTTCTGGGATGTGTTCCTTAAGTACGATGGGGGCACCAAGACCAGGGGCGTCTTTAGCAACACCCGGCCCCCTTGGACCGTTTTCGGCGAGGCGCAGCTGCAGAAAACACCCTGAGGCTGGAGATCCTTGAAAAAGAGCCGATGGACACGTCCAAAACATTTGGAGCGAGGGCGTCGTCGTCGTCGTCCTCCTCCTCCTCCTCCTCCTCCTCCTCCTCCTCCTCCTCCTCCTCCTCCTCCTCCTCCTCCTCCTCCGGTGGGAAGCGGGCGCGGGAGCGGACGCCGCGACCCGCAGAATTTGGAGCTCTTCTTGGTGTCGCTCGGCGCCACCCTGCAGTGCCTTGCGAAAGGGTGGCTGTGCCTGAAGGGGCTCAGGAACTCCAACTGGGCGACAATGCTGACGGCCACACGGGCAGCGGGGACCGCTCCTCGATCTTCCTCCTCCTCGATTATCCTGTCCCTCCTCCTCCTCCTTCTCCTTCTCCTCCTTTTTCTCCTCCTCCTCCTCCTTCTCCTCCTTCTCCTCCTCCTCCTCCTCCTCCTTCTCCTCCCTCCTCCTTTTACCCTCCTCCTCCCTCCTCCTCCACCTCCTTCTCCCTCCTCGTCCACCTCCTCCTTTCCTCCTCCTCCTCCTCCTCCTCCTCCTCCTTCTCGTCCTCCTCCTCCTCCTCCTCCTCTTACCCTCCTCCTCCTCCTTCTTGTCCTTCTCCTGCTCCTTCTCCTATAATGAGATCTGGGCGTCGTAATTTTCTCACTGCGAGCGTGTTCGCCTGGTTTCGGGCCCTAGGACCCTCACAGATCAGACTGGTTTGAGAAATGTCGGAGAAAAGGGGGGGATTAGGGCTCTGGTCCTACGATGCGGCATTTTTTCGTGATGTCGGATCTCAGGGTCGATCCTCGATCCTCCTCCTCGATGCTCCTCCACCTCCACCTTCTCCTCGATCCTCCTCCTGATCTTTGGATGTAGTCTTCAGACGCAGCCTCCCCCCCAAGGGCCGGTCGGGTCGGCCTTGTGCGGTTGATCACACTAAACAGCCAGGTCCTTGGCGTGACTAGCTGTGGCCACGAGATATTGGTAACAAGTGGCAAACAGACATCGACAGGGGAGAGAAGAGCCACGCTGGCCCTGGGCAGGCTGCGCTGCCAGGCGGAAGGGGAAGAGGGGAGAAGCAGGCAGACGAGGACGACGAACGCGCAGGTGGGAGGCCAGGGCCAGTGGGGCGGGTGGGCATGCGGAGGAAAAGCCAGGCGGAGACAGCAGGCAGGGAGCAGGATGAACGAGGACAGGAACGCGAGGGAGGCACGGAAGAGGAGGAGGAGGAGGAGGAGGAGGAGGGGGAAAACAACCGCAAGCCGACAGGCCGTGCCAGGGGACGGGAGAGAAGGGCCACCGGCGACGAGGCTACGGACACTACGGCGGCGACGCGGACCAGGCGGCGCAGGCGTAGCGGTGGAGTGGGCGGTGGGCGTCGGGGGGGGGGGTCGTTGACACACGCTGGGAAGGGCCGTCGGGGTCGTCGGTGGGCGGTGTGGGGTGGCAGACCGAGCCCAGCACGCTGCGCCTTGGTGGGGAGAGCCTTCTGCGGGATCGCCCACCGCCCCGTCGGGGAAGGCCTCGCCCCCTGCTCATAGGAACTCCCCACCGAGCGTTGGGGAGGTTTGAGCCTTCCGTGGCGGTGCTTCGGTCAGGGGTGGCATGCGCAAGTGGCTTGCGGCGAAGCGGTTAGGCCTTGCGGTTCAAGAGCCGCCTTCGCGGCGAAGTGCTTCCGAGAGGTGACAGGCAGGGCCCCCCAAATGCCGTCCCGTTTCCCAGGCCTCTCTCTCGTTTCGGTGTTTGTTCGTAACTGTTTTCGTCTGCAGCACCAACCCTGCGTTGCTGTCTGGTGTCTGCCAGGGCGGCCGTCGGCGAGAAGTCCCTCCCGCCCCCCCCGATGATGCGCCCAGTCGTCCCCGCCGCCACCAGAGTGAACAGGAGTAGGGCGGGCCACTTACGGGGCAAGTGAGCGGCCGGAAGGGACGGAAAGGTTGGGCGAGGTGGACCACGTTCCCCACGCCACCGGCCACGATTCACAAAAATGTTGGCTCGCCACCCCGTTCGTCGCGAGGGCCGTCGGGGGGGGGCGCGTCGGACTCGTCCGAAGTGGCGTCCTCGTCCTCCTCGGGTCTTGTCTCCCCTTGACGAGAGAGCGCTGTCTTCATAGTCGTGCTCGTGGGGGGTGTTGGCGAGGCTGTCGCGCGGGCTGTCGCGCGGGCTGTCGACGAGGCCGTCGCGGAGGCAGGCGTCGGGGGCTGTCGTGGCCGTCGCGGCCGTCGTCGTGCTCGCCTTGGCCGTCGCCGTTGCGGGGTTCGTCGCGGGGGTTGGTCGCGGGGGTCGCCGTCGCAAGGGTCGTCGCCCACGAGCCGCGCGGGGTCGCAGGCCAAGGGGCCGTCGGTTCGGCTGTCTTGTCGTCCGCCCAGCAGCCCGTGAAGGAAGCGCTGCCCGCGTAGCCGGGGGAGGTCGTTGCAGGATTCGTCGCGTGGGCCGTCGTCGGGGCGGTCACGGGGGTTTCGTCGCAGGTGCCGCAAGCACGTGGCCGTCGTAGGGATTCGTTTTGTGTGGGTCGGGTGGGGGGTCCCAAGGAACATCGCTGGCAGTCCTTATGACCGTTTCCCCAGGTATGCCCTCCTCGGGTTCCTTCTGCATGCGGCCATTCGGGATTTGTTGGGGTCCGGCGAGGGACAGTCTGCGCCAGCTTTGGGTTTGCCAGCGGCCTCCTACGACCGTTCCACCAGGTATGCCCCCCCCCCCCCACACCACGGGTTCCCTCACAGGGCGTGCGGCCACCCGAGGCGCGGCCGTCGTGGGGGGTTTTGATAAGGGGTCGCGGGGGCCGTCGGGCAAGGCAAGGGGTCGTGGGGCTCGTGGGGCAGGGGGTCGCGCGGCAGGAAAGGGTTTTGGGCAGGGGGCAGCGGTTCCCCCCACGAAGGGGGGGGACTGCGAGGAGGGGGGGCGAGGAAGGGGAGTCGTCGAGGGGTCCGCTGTGCGGGGCCGCCGCGGGGTCCATCGCGGGGGCTGTCGTGGGGGGGCGTTTTGGGGGTGGTCGGCTGTCCCTGTGACCTCTTCCCTGGGTATGCCCCCCTGCGGGTTCCCTCTCAAACCGTGCGGCCACGCAGGATCCTGGCGAGGGGCCAGCGACGCAGGCTGCGGATTGGCTGGCCGCCTCCATGGCCGCATCCTTGGGTGTACCCCACGCGGGCTCCCTTTTTCAGGGCATGTTGCCACTCGGGGCACGGCCGTCGCTGTGGTCGTCGGGTGGGGGGGTGAGGGGGCCCTCGCGGGGTTCGTCGTGAGGTTCGTCGTGGGGGTGGTGGGGCAGGCTTTCGCGGGGGACGTCGTGGCAGGCCGTCGAGGTGGTGGATCGTGGGGTCGTCGTGGTGGTGGATCGGGTGGGGGGGCCCCGGGTATGCCCCCCGCGGGCTCCCTTTCAGGGCAAGCTGCCTCTCGGCGCGTGGCTGGAGGGGCGCGGGGTCCGTCGCGGGAGCCGTGGGTTAAGGGGTCGGGGGGGTGGCGTGGCAGGCGCACGCCGGGCTGTAGGGGAGCAGGCGGGAGATCCCATCGTCACCGTAAGTGTCGTTGGCGCTGGTGGCTTGGCAGGCCGCGGCTGTATTCCATGGCGCTCTTGTAAGAAACTGGTGACCTTTTATGACGATGTACTTGGTGGTGCGGCTGTAGCTGGTGTCATCGGCGACGTCAGGTTTGATGGCGTCGCCGTTGATGAGTAGTTTGAAGGCTGCTTCCAGCGCTGTTCGCCTGTGGCGAGCCGCTCGCCTGGCCGCGATTGGCCCGATGTCTATGATCTGCCTGGCCCGGAGAGAGGTGGCTGACCTTGGAGGGGTGGGTTTTGTTGCCGATGCGCTGCCGATGCATGTTTGGGCCGCCGCTCAGTCGAGCTGTTCCCCGTAGCATTGCACACGTCGGTGTCGAAGAGCGTCGCGGGCTCCTCGGCGCCCATCGCCGGGTGCCGCGCTTAGCCTGTCGCCCGCTGCGGTCCCCCCCCCGCCCTTGTAATTCCTTTGGGATATTCAGGCGCCCGAGCAGGATCCTGCCCAGAAGCTTGCTCACAGTACTTTCTCCTTGTGGTTCCAGCAGTGGCGATATCATTTTGAGATGAGACCAGTTGTCCGACATGTTTAATATACAGTGCTAGCAAAGCTTCAATTTGCAGACGCTGCTCAGCGTGCAAGGCATGTCAGAGGAACGCTGTCGGCGATCTTAGCGTATCTGCTGTCCTTTGGTCGGGTACCCAGAGGGCCGTCGATTTGGGAGCTACCGAATTATGATAATGATTGGCGGTCTCCAGATGATGGGTTTTCTGGAACCAAGGCTTCATATACGTTTGGTGTCTTGTTGACCGATGTGAAGAATGATGCGATGTCTATACACTGGCTTCAGCCGTCCAAGAACTTCGGCGGCGAGGGTATCCAAGCCAGGGTTGGCACGTACTCGGTGCGACATCTTCTGAATCGGGTGGGCATTCTACACGATGGTGGTCCTAGACTGGCGGGGCTTTTGATTGCTATCGCGGTGGGCGGTGCTTGGGCCTGGAGTTGCGAGGCCACCTTGGCGGAGCATCGTAGCAAGAGCGAGGCCGAGTTGACGGACTTCTTGCACTGTGCGACGATGTACGGCGGTTGCTGAGACATCCTTTTCATAGGTCATGGGCGCGCAGCTGTAACAAGGATTTGCAATTTTTCGATGCCAGTGCTTCGTTCTTTCCGTCAGCTATTTCTCCACGCGAAGCATTTTACGTATTTTGGCTTCGAGGTTTGGTTCCGGTAGTATGGGCACGCACGCCTGATCCTCAGTTTGCGGAGGATGAGATTCGCAGCGGCTATTCAGCAGACTCAGCCCGGTTGTCGACCACGTCTTTCAGTTGAGGCTCCAGCCGTCGTGTTCGGCGATGCCAGCGCCGACCCGCGACGGCGCAGCGTACCAGTGGGAGCGACTGTTATCTCAAGCTTCGAACCCCCTAGTGGGTGGCGCTCACATCGCTGGTGCTTTGTCGGGCAGTGAGCAGACGGTCCCCAGAAGGGAGCAGTACATTCTATGGCTTGCTTTACAAGCCAGTGCTGGGCCCAGTCACGACACCCCAGACTGCGAACATGTATATCGTGGATGGTATCATGGCTGGCAGTCTGCCCTTGTGGGGGCGACGCGGACATCTGGGTTCACATTCACGTGCTGGTGGCCACGAGGGACGTGACTGATGTTTAGGTCGGGTTCGCTCGTTCTCACCTGACTGGAAGTGATATTGTTGACGGGCGTGTGGGGAGATGGAAGGTTGTTGGTAACGCCATCATCGACGAGCTGGTTCGTGCGATGGCGACGGACGTTCGATTTGGTCCCGATGTGCGCCATCACATCCCGGACATCGACCGCCAATCCTTTCTGGCGAGGCACAGCCTGATCATCGCGGCCGCAGACTCCATGGCCAGCGTCATCCAGGATTTGAAATGGAGGAAGATGAGCGACGCCCCCCTCCCCTTCTCCCTCCTCCTCGAATGTGAACTTTCAGTTTCCCCGACCTGTTACGCTTTCCGACGACAACTGCCGTACACGCAAGCGTTTAAATTCGGCCCCCTTGAAGCGCCTGGAGGCCTGGAAAAAAGACAGCCCCTGGCCGTTATTTCACGCCCCTGAATCTCAATGGGGGGTTTCAAACGGTGCCTTTAGGACTTAGGTTGCACGTGGCTGCTGACTGGGTGCACGAATCGCACGCGCTAAAGGTACGCATGCAGCTGTGGGTTTTCGCCAGTCAACAGACACGTAACCTCCACAAGCCCTGTGGTCGAGCCACCCCGACAGGAGAAGGGTATTCCAGGTCGATCCGTCAAGGTCAGTGGTTTAATTTCCTAAGACTGGCTGAGAAGGCGAAGAGCTCTGGTGCGAGGCGCGGTCGTCCTCCCTCAGCCTAGGCTTCCTTGATTTCAGTTATTGAATAAACATTTTGATTATCATTCGCTTGATCGACCTTCGGCTCTCCGGCCCGATCCTCCTCCCCGATTTTTTTTTCTCGGCGGCCACTGCCGCGCAGCGCAGGGGAGCAGCTGTCGGGAAAAGAGTGGCAGCAACGGGCCTGCCCCGCAGCGAACGCCCACCGCGCGGGCGCACATGGCCCCGAGGGCAGGCTGGGGACCATCCCAGGAGAGGGAAGGGAAGGAAAGAGGGGATAATCAAGGAGAGAGGGAGGGAGAAAGAGAGAGAAAGAACAGAGAAAGAGAGGGACAGAAAGAGAGAGAACGAGAGAAGAGAGGGAGAGGGAGGAGAAAAGACGTGGAGGCAGGGAGGTCCGAGAGACGGGACTTTTGGGATTCAGCTGGGCGTTGCATCGACCGCATGCCGTAGGGAGGCGGGAAGGAAGAGGGGCGGTCCCCAACCACGCCCCAAGGCAACGTGCTCTCAGGGAGTGCCCTCCTCCTCCTCCTCCTCGATCCTCGCGGGCTACGGTTTGTGGTTTCTTCGAGGGCGGGACCGCGACGCAACACGCCCGTCACGCACTGGCAGCCCGTTGGGCGGTCGCACGCTGCGCGGCAGGAGGGGTCCACCAGGCCGCTGGCCCGCCGGGCGCGGCCTGATCGAGAAAGCCCGAGTTCCGTGCGCTTGTTTCATCCGACGGGTTGCCCTCGATTGCGGCACCTGGGCACCGGTTTTCCCGAGGGGGCTCTACTCGGACCACGGAAGAGTCCCACAGGGGTCCGGGAACCCGAGGGCGCCCGGTCGGGCAGCCGCTTCGCGGGAGGCTTCCGGACAATTGACTCGGGGATCGTGCTCTCCTCCCAGCGTTGGTTGCAGTGCAGGCCCATGACAAGAAACACCCTGCTTGCCTCCAGGGTGCTCTGGGTTTCTTGGGTTTCGATGGTGACGTTCCCGCACCAAGAATCAATGGACGTCCTGGGGTCTCAGGGTGGTTGGGCTTCTTACGGACTTGGCATCGCTCGGACGTGTGCGCTTTTTCCTCGGCGAGGGCCATCGAGGAGCATCCTTGATCACTTGGCAAAAAAACCACGCACGAAACCGAACAAAAACACAGGGAATGGACGTCCGAGCGATGGCGAGTGGAAGGTTTCTTGTGGTCGGGCCCCTACTGTACGTTGGTGGTCTGGACGGCCACGACCCCATGTGAACAACGCGCTCCGGAGCACATGGCTGGGCTCTCACCCCTGTGCCCCTTATGGCCCGCCTCCTACACTCCTGGGCCCGCCTGCTCAGCGTTGCTGCTATTTGGGCGCCTTGCTGGGATGCTGATGTTTTTTGTCCGACTTCGGCCCTCTGGGGCAGCTTTCGGGGCCCGGGGGCCATCATACACTGCTCTGGGGCGATGATCGACCCCTCTGGGGAGCGGTCGGGACCGACAGTCGGCCTTGATTAGTAGTTCGACCCTGCCAAAGCAAGGGTACCCTTGTGTCCCGTGTCTCGCGGCGCCGATGCCTCCTACGCTCTATGGCAATGTGGCCCTGGGAGGGGTCCTGTGTCCTCTCGCGTATCCGGTCCAATCGAGTCCGAATGTGTGGGCGTCGGATTATAAAACATGAAACTGGCGGGCGTCAGGGAGCAGGAGTCGTATCAGCGGAACGCCCTTGCCAGGCTGCGCGGGGGGGATGAGGGGTGCACGGCGCGAAGGGTCACCGAGCAAGCGGGTGTGCATCGACGATCGACGCTCGATCCGCACCCCCGCTGCTGCCCCCAACTCTGGGCGCCAGGGCAAGTGGGGTATGGATAGGAAGCGTGGCCTCGGAGACCAGGAACTAATACATGTTCCCGCTCTGGCTCCTCGTGGGGTCAGGGCGCGAGCAGACGCATGTTCGGTTGGCTGTTATGCAAGCCTTGAGTTCCACCCCAGACTTTTTTTGCACGTGGAATGGCCATGTGCCTCTGTTTATCCCTAACCGATTGCCCGTAGTTGCCGCTATTTGCCGGTAGTCCGCAAACATCTTGACTAAGGCAGGCTTCCATATCCTTTTTTTAAGCGTGAGGCATGGCTAACATGTCGCCCGAGTAGTGCAGGTCAAGTTCCCCGTGCCGCTGAACATGTACCCCGTGCAGTGGACCAGGGACCACCGTCTCTCAGCAGTTGGGGGCCAATGGAGACACAAGTAAATAGACATAATTTCCAGGATTCCCCACATGTCGCACTCTTTTCAGAATTTCCATCTCACCCTCCATTTCCTAAATATTCCCATCTTTTATCGGGCAGCAGCGTTTATGTGCGTGTGTGTGTGTGTGTGTCTGTGTTTGTTTGTGTCCCTCCTAACTCTATCTGTCTCTCTTCTTGCCGGATGCTCCCTGGGTCTCCCTCGTGCGTGTGTTCCAGTGCGCACACGCTCGTACAGTCCCAGAGACCCGAGGCTCACAAACAAAAATGGCAGCCGCCAGTTTTTTGCCGCTTTCGGCCTCCAGGTGCCCTCCACGGGCCCCAGTACCGTCAACAAAACGGCTCAGGATGAAACACCGGTTTCCCTCACGGTCACCTATGTTTTTTCTCCAAATAGGTTTGCCTACAGGAGTCCTAGCTCAACGGCCCTGAATCGTTTTCGCGAAGTGGGGTTAGGATCTACCCTCGATGATGGGCAACTTTCCCACCACCACTACCATGTGTAGGACGGGGGAGAAGCGAGGATGAGGAGGTCCTCCTCCTCCTCCTCCTCCTCCTCCTCCTCCTCCTCCTCCTCCTCCTCCTCCTCCTCCTCCTCCTCCTCCCTCTCCTACAGATGGCAGTGGTGGTGCAACATGGGCCCATCATTCGACCCCAGCGCGCGGCCGCACGGTCGGCCGCGCTGGCCGCGCGACGACGGAGCAGGGCAGTTGCCGCCACCCCCCCCCGCAGTGGTCCAGACCTCCTCGGGGGTCCACGCAAAGAAAAACATTGGAGCGCCAGACATCTGGGAAGACTGGCATATCACCGAGCACAGAGAGACGATGAAGGCGTGGCCTCACTGAGGTCCTCGTCGTCGCATTGGGGATGATAGGGCTGGGCGGCTTGGTCTGATACACCTGCAGAAAACACCCTCTGGCCCCAATGCTCCTGGCCCTCCTGACTTAGGTGCCCTCCCAAAGGGTTCGGGTTTTTTGGGGGGGTCATTCCCATGCAGACCACTCTGGGGGGGCCCAGGAAGGGGCCCTGGTTCCCGGACCCTCCTCCTCCTCCTCCTCCTCCTCTTCCTCCTCCTCCTCCTCCTCCTCCTCCTCCTCCTCCTCCTCCTCCTCCTCCCCCCCCTCCTCCTCCTCCCCCTCCTCCTCCTCCTCCTCCTCCTCCTCCTCCTCCTCCTCCTCCTCCTCCTCCTCCCCCTCCTCCTCCTCCTCCAGGTCGGGGCTTTGGGGTGGCCCGGTCGACGCCGGGGCTCGCCGGGGCCAGGAGGGCCCCTTGCGTTCCCCACGCCGCGCTCCTCATGGAGCCGGACATGCTCGCGTCGTGGAAACATCGGGGCTCAAGGGGACGGGGGTCAGTGCAAAGAGCCTGTTTTTCTTTAGATCCAGGCAAGCTTACTTCCATGGCGTTCGCCCCCCCCCCCCTCTCCCCCCTCGCCCCTCTTCAGTCGAACACGAGCGTGCAAGTGCCTTTCGGCCTGCGTGATCTCCGCACGTCGAATTGTTTTCGGCTTGCCTCAGACTCAGCCCCCCCCCCGTCCATGCAAGTAAACTTGCCCGAATCCAAAGAAAAACAGGCACCAGTGCAAACGGGGGTCAGCCAGGGCGCCAGATCTTGCAGGAAACTGCAGGGCCAGGGTCGCATTGACCCGGGTTTGGGTGCAGGATCCTGCAGGATCTTGCAGGGTCCTTCGCATTGGCCCAGGTTTGGGCGCAGGGCCTCGCAGGATCTTGCAGGATTCTGCAAGGCTAACACGGGTCTGGATTGACCCGGGTCAGAAAATCCTAGAAAATACGGGACGGGAGGTCTTTCCGAGTGTTTGGCCCCTGGGTGCCCTCGACGGGCCCCAGGACCGCCAACAACACGATCCGGGACGAAAAACTGGTCCTGGTGAAAGGGTCGGAGGGAAGGTTTTCCGAGTTTTCGGCCCTTGGGTGCCCTCGACGGGCCCCGAGACCGTCCAAGAAAAATATCGGGATGAAAAACCAGCCTTGGGGAAAGGGCCGGGACTGCTGAGGACCGCGTACAGTCATCCCGCATACTAAGGATGGGCATCCTTCTCAAGGGTACTCTTGTTGCATCCTTGCCTCTCCGGTCCGTCCTTGGCCACTTTCGTTGGCCGCGCTCCGCTCGAAAAGCTTCGAGATGGGCGTTCCAGGGGTTCGCACCATCACCGCGCATCCTTGTGGTACGGGCCGACTGTATTGAAGAAGCCAGGACGTCGCATGTCTGGCGAAGCACGTGACTGCATGTCACATCGGCTGCACCCGCCCGCCCTGTTCGATGCGTGGAACCCCAGAGTTCGATGCGTGGACCCCCAGAGTTCTGGACCCCTTCCCCCGGGCCGGTCTCTCGTCCCTGGTCCTCTCTTAAGTCAGGAGGGGAAAAAACACACAGACACAATTTACATCGTCGATTCCCAGGAAAATATGGGAAAATATGGGAGGTGGGGGGGAAGACAAAAACCCAGAATACATGGGAAAAAATGGAGAACATTTTTATCTGTGTGTATTTATTTGTGTGTCCTGGGGCCCCTTCACTTGAGACGGTCCCGGGGGCTCCCTGCGAGGGCCCCCATGGGGCCGAGAGCGGCCACGAAGTCGGCAGCTCGCCCTCCTGTCGCTCCCTCTCCTTCTGGCCCTGGGCTGGCCCTGGTCTCCTCGGCGTTCCCTCCTCTGCGTAAGTCGGCCATGTCCCTATGCAGGAGGGACGTCCCACATTAGTCAAACAATACTCAGCTCATTGTCGCTCCCTCTCCTTCTGGCCCTGGGCTGCTCCTGGTCCTCGGCTTTCCCTCCTCTGCGTAAGTCGGCCATGTCCCTATGCAGGAGGGATATCCCACAGTAGTCAAACAATAGTCAGCCGATTATGTTTCGGTTATTTTGGGCTAAATCGAGGCCCCAGTGCCTGCGTTCG